CCGGCGCCGGGGATGGGGATGGGGACACCGGCATTGTCAGCGACACCACAACGGCAGGAGAGGGACGGATCGGGGCTGGGGGCGCGGTGGGGATGCGGGGGTGTGAGGGGGGAGGAGAGCACGCGGGTCCCCGTGCCGGGGATGGGGACGGTGACACCGGCATTGCTGTGGCAGGAGCGGGATGAATCCAGGCTAGGGACACCGCGGGAATGCGGGAACTGGGGGACACTCAGGGCTCGGTGCAGGGGGACACTGTGGATACCCGGGGGGACAGGGATGAGGGATGGTGGCCCTGGGGTGGGGGAGATGCTGTCACTGAGGGCTGGGGACACTGAGGGCATGGAGGGCTGTCAGGGGTGTGGGTCTTGGGGATAGTGGGGCTGGAGGAGACATGGGGTTGATCAGGAGTGGGGTTGGGGGCACTGGGACAGGTGGACAGTGGGGGTGTGGCCACTGGGGCTGTGGGCACAGCAGGACAGGGGGACACTGTGGGGGCCAGGGCTCTCGGGGGCTGGGGACACCGGGTCTGGGGCTGAGAGGGGCTGGGGGACTCCAGCTAGGGGACAGGCTGGGGGACACCATGCCCTGAGACCCCCAGGGGCTGGCAGTGAGACACGGGCAGGGCCAGGGGGTGAGGGGTGGCAGGACAGCAGTGGGTGCTGGCGGGTGGGTGCCCCCAGGGTGTCACCCCGCTGCGGTGCCAGAGCCGGGTGTGCCTCGGCCACCCCTGCCGGTGCTGCCGGTGGCTCCCTGGCAGGTCGGGAGCCGGGAAGTTCCCTGTCCCGGGGTGCCCCCAGGCTGCCAGGGCACCGGCAGGGCTGGCAGAGTGCCGGCCACTGAGCACCGCGGGCAGGATGAGCCCCACCCGCGTGTCCCACACCCGCGTGGAGAGGCTGGGACGGACAGATGCGGGAGTGGATCCCGGTGAGGGGCTCGGCAAAGCCGAACACCAGTGGTTGGGGGGAAGACGGTGCCAGAGGCCTGGCTCTGTGCCAGGCCCACCGGCCCGGGGGTCTCCTGCCCGTTTCTTGGTGCCAGGAGCTGGCACCGTGTTCAGAGCCACTCGAGGGGGGGCCAAACCCTCCCCAGGGATGGAGCCGAGGATGCAGCTCCGGCTTCGCGGCTCCCACGGAGCTTTCGGCCTCCCGGGAAGACATAAGGGAGATGGGGCAAGAAGAATAAAAGAAAAAAATGAACCAAACCAAAAAAAAGAAACAAAACAAAAAAAAAACCCAAAAAATCAAAAAGAGGAGCAAATTCTAAAATAAAGGCTGCAGACTGTCTGCCTAATAAAAATCGCACCCAGCAAAGGGCCCATATTGGACGGGATCACAGTTTGCCGAGGTGCTAATTTATTCTGGCAGGCTGGGGGGGAGCGGGAAGCATCACGTTGCCTGTGAGATGTGACGGCAGCGAGGTTTGCAGAATTCCTTTGTTGTGGGCAGAGAGGAGGGGACGCGGAGCCGGCCCCGCCGCCGGGGCTCCTGCCACGGCCCCGCAGCGCCGGGGGGGCCCTCGGCTGATACCCCCTCCCCGCTGGGGCGGCCGAGGCACCCCTGGGAGGGAGGTGGGTGATGCGGGGGGCTGGTGGCCCCGACGGGGTTGGGGGCGGGGGGTGGAGGGTCAGCCCCGTGGGGTGTCTGCAGTGGGGGGCACACGCCGGGTGGGTGGGCACCGAAGTGCTGCGCTGGTGGCACTGGGCACTGGAGTGACCCGCGGGGACAGCAGAGGTCACAGGGGCTGCATCTTGGCTGGGGGGAAGTTGGGGGCACCCCCAGGGCTGGGGTTTCCCCAGGGTGGGGGACACCCGTGTCCAGCTGCAGCCAGGCCGCCTGGGCGGGTGGGCAGTGCACGGTCTCCCCTCCCACCCGTCCCAAACCCGTGTCCCCACCACTGTCCCAAATGTCCCCTCTGCTCCATGGAGGCCCCAGGCTCCACAGCCACCCCCAGCCCAGCCCATGGCTCGGGGCAGGTTGGGGCGAGAGGTGACCCCCAAAACTGTCCGGGTGGTCCCAGGGCCCACCAGCCTGTGTGGAATTAAGCTCTGTTTCAGCTCAAGCTAATCACCAGCCCCAGCTTTGCATATTCATGAGAAATATGAATTATTCATGAGGTGACAGCTAGTGACAGATGTGAAAATGTTCACCCGTGGGGGGGGGGGCGGTTTGCACCGGCGTTATTTTGAATTTCTCTCCTCTGCCGTTTCCCCCGGTCGGGCTGGGACGCTGAGGGACAGGGACACGCTCCTTGTCCCCAGGTGGGCTTGGCCACGTGGCATCGGGGACGTCACAGTGACATCGCCCTGACTGCAGAGAGAGACCCCCACCCCGCGCCGCGAAATTCAGCCCGTGGTGCTCGTGGTGGCACCGCCACCCCCCCTGCCCGGCCACCCCCGTGCCACCCTCCTCACCTTGTCACCGCTGGCACTGCCGGGGATGGCGCGGTGGTGCCCACACGGCCAAACCCATGGCTTCTGCCACGGGGAATCCCAGCTGGATCCTGTGCCAGCAGGATGGGGCTGATGCTGCTCCTGGCTCTGGCACGGGGGCTGGTGCTGCTGAGCCGCCGCTGCCCGTGCTGGGCACCCAAGAGCCAGCCGGGGCTGACCCTGGTGGCACCGCGGGGTCGGGATGTGGCCGTGCCACCCCCGGGCAGCCTCCCTGGCACTGCTGGAGCTGGGCTGGGGGTTAGTGGAGCGAGGGGAGGTGGGATGGAGAGAGTCTCAATAATTAATGAGGTGCTGGGGCTGGGAGGGGCTCAGGATACTGGGGGGGTGATATGGGGGGATGTCCCCGTGTGTGGACACTGCACGTGGTGGCTCCGGAACCAGCAGGGGATGGAGCCCGTCGTGTCACTTGTCCTGACCTTGGGACAAACTTTTTGCTGGCTCAGCACGTTGCCGGGCTCGGCCTGGGGGTCCAGGGGATGGACCGTGGCGGGGACTGTGCTGAGGGGCAGGGGTGCCAGCCAGGTGCCAGCCCCAAGGCAGTGAGAGGGGCTGTGTGTCCTGACCCTGGCTTGGGGGGCACCTGGGACCCCCCCCCTCACCAAGGAGGCAGCGGGTGCTGCGGGCAGGGCCGGCCCTTCCCGCCGTGGCACCTTCCCTGCTGCGAAAGCAGATCCCTCAGAACTGCTGATGCTGGGGAAGGTGCCGGTGCAGCTGGAGCCACACAGCCCTGTGACCTCCCCCCTCCTCAGCCCTGAGCCCCCCCTGGCCCCCAGCCAGCCTGGGGTGTCCCCGGTGGGCTCAGGGACCGTCCCACCCAACCCTCCATCCTGGGGGTGGCGACTGGAAACCCAGAGAGCGACTTGGGTGTTTAACGTTCAAATAAGCGCCGGGTGTTTGCTCAGCGAGGACCCCGCTCTGAGTAAACAGCAGAGCCTGGAGGAGGATTTATACTCCTCGTGTTAATGCAGCTCTGAGGGGTCTCCCCCTGCTCCATCCCTACCGTCCCTGTGTGGCACTGGGCACAGGGACAGGACTGGTGGCCCCCAGGGATCACTGGGAACTCCCATGGGCCAGGGAGGAGGGGGATGGAGAAGAGGGAAGTCTCAGGGATGCTGTGGGGAGGCGGCAGGGAGCGAGATCTGATCGCTGTTGTCCCACGTGGGAAATTGCCTTGTTTGCCTTTTGGTGGGAAAAGTTGCTTGGAAGCTGCAGAGGGGGAGCATCAAGGGACGAGGAAAGAAAACGGGTGAAAAGGCAAAAAAAGTCTTGAAAAGGCCTAATAGGGTGGTTTGAAGGCCCCAAACACGTGTGAGCACAGCTCGGGGGCATCCTTTTTTCCCTGGAGCTGAGTGTCCTGGGTGTTCCCTTCATCACCCACCTTCACCCAGCAGGTCCTGGGCGGTGCCTGGGCCAAGGCCAGATGATGGTTTGGTCTGGGAGGGCTCCTGGACATCCCAGAAAGTCAGAATTAGCATTTCAGTGGGATGAGCTGGAACTTCCCAAGCCCGGCACTGCTCAGCACCCCTGGAATTCCCCTCCATGGCCGGGGTCAGGTCACCTCCTCCTCTTCCTCTTTTCCCAGCAGGAGCTGCCGGGGGAGGGAAGGGGCTGCCAACGCTTTCTTCTTCTTCTTCAGAGGAGGAGGAAATAAGATAAAACCCGGTTCTGCATCCCCAAAAAGGCCCTTTTTTTGCCAGCCCCGAACACTGGGTGGGGGGTCTCCTTTTTTCTCATCATTTCGCTCTTTCTTTCTATTTCTGTCCCATAAAAGCACAGAAGGGACAGAACGAGAAATCGAGGGCTGGAAAATGGAGCATCAGGGATGGGGGAACTGGTGGGATGAGGCAGACCCTCGGTTCTGGGCAGCTGGGAGAGGGATGTGGGTCCTGTATCCCCCCTTAAAGCTGAGTGCTCCCCAGATTGCTGTGTGAGACTGGGCAGGGGTCGATGTTGGAGCTGGGGGGGACCAGCAGACCCCATGGGGGACCCAGGGTGTGGTTCAAGCTCGTGGCTGAGTGATGCCCAGCTCCTGCACGGCCCCATTTGGGATTTGGGGGGGGGCTGGTTGTGTCCCTGCTGCCTCTGCTCGGCTGGTTGGGTGCCCAAAAAGAGCCTGATTGCAGCTGTGACGTGGAGGGCACCAGGGGATGGTGGTGGTGGTGGTGGTGGTGGTGTTGAGGGGGGTGGTGGTCACCTGGTGGTGGTTTTGCCTGTGATGGGTGATGGTTGTGGTGGGATTTGTGTCGTAGCTGTGGGCACCTGGTGGTGGTTTGCAGCCGTGACAGGTGACAGTGAGCCAGGTGACGGCAGTGGGTGGCTCAGGGATGTCACCATGGGTGGGACCCCCCAGCTGGCGATGGGGGCACCCTGTCCCTCATCCCGACCTCATTCCAAGAGTGAAATCGAACTCTCCCTGGGGTTTTCTGCGTCCTGCTGAGAGGGGCTAATCCCGCTCCTCACACGGTGATTTAAGGCCCGATGGCATCGCCCACCGAGCCTGGAGCGGGCGAGGGGCGACCTCCCACCCACCCCCCCTGCTGTCATTGCAGGTCAAGGATGGTCCATGGGATGGGGGATGCCGGCTGCTGGGTCCTGCTCGGGCTCTCCCTGCTCCCCATCGCCGTGCTGGGTAAGTGCCCGGGGCTGAGGGTAAACGGCAGGAGATAATGAACTGATGGCCAGAGTAAACCCTGACCTGGGGAGGACCCGGGATTAATGAGGGAGAAGCCCTCCAGGCGCCCGTGGACGACCCACGGCCCCCCTCCCCCAGACTGGGATCCCCACAGGCGAGACCTTAAATCCTTAATCCCACTGGCAGAGTCCCCCCCGCCCCGAGCCCCCCGGGGATTTGCCATGGCTCTGGCCACGACAATCCGTGTCCCCTCGGCAGGGACATCGCAGCACGAGGGGGGATTTGGGATCCCCCACCCTGGAACGCTGCCCGTGCGTGTCTCCCGGTGGGCTGAGGGTGTGGGGTGGGATGGAGGGTGGGGAAGGGGGGGAGGAAGGTTCCCGGAGGGGATTAGTGGCCATCCCCGTCCCCAGCTGGCCGGGCTCTGCAGGGGACATCCCCTGACCCCGCTGTGGGCAGGGGGAGCCAGGCCGTGGGGGGCCTGAGATGTGGGGGATTTGTGGTGGCAGAGCTGGGAGGCAGCACAGGCTGGGGCAGGATTAGTGCGGGACGAGGAGGAGGAGGAGGAGGAGGAGGAGGAGGAGGTCATGGCCTTGCCATGTCTTATCTCAGCAGGGAGCAGGGGGATCCAGGGGTGGTTGGGGACCAAATCCAAGTCGGGGCTTCAGCCCCGAGGTGCAGATTGAACGGGCAAAGCCTCTCTCTGGCCACGAGAAGGGGTGGCTGCACTTGATCCCCCTTGGAGCTCCGTCCTGGGGGGCTTGGGGGTGCCCCCCACACCCTGCTCTGCCCGCTGTGCACAAGAGCCCTGCTGCAGCCCCCGCCGCCCACCCCCCTCGGTACCCGGGCGCCTCTCCCCGCAGGCTCCCAGGACGATGGGAAGGTGATCCACATCAGCAGGGTGCAGCACCAGGCGGTGCGCGTGGGGCTGGGGGAGCCCGTGGCCCTGCCCTGCCTCTTCCTGCTCCACCCCTCCGCCTCGCTGGGGCCCAACGAGCCCCCCGACCCGCCCCGCGTCAAATGGAGCAAGGTGCGCTCGGCCAGCGGCCAGCGGGAGGACGCGCCCATCCTGGTGGCCAAGGACAACGCCGTGAAGGTGGTGAAAGCCTACGAGGGCCGCGTGTCCCTGCCCGGCTACCCCCGTGACCGCTCCAACGCCACGCTGGAGCTGCGCGGGGCCCGCGCCAGCGACGGGGGGCTGTACCGCTGCGAGGTGGTGGCCGGCATCGAGGACGAGCAGGACCTGCTGCCGCTGGAGGTGACGGGTGAGCCGGGCCCCGGCACGGCCGGCGGGGCTGGGGTGGGGTGGGGTGGGGTGGGCTCTGTGCGGGCTGTGCACCCCCTGTGTCCCGTGCGAGGTGGGCGAGCTGTGCACCCCGCGGGGGTTGTGTTCCCCGTGCACCCCACGAGAGCTGTACACCCCATGCACCCCACGTGCCCCATAAAACCCCCCGCTCCCCGAGTGATCTCCGTGCCCCACCGCACCCCACGCACCCCAGTGCCGGCCCTGCCCCCCTTCCCCCAATTGCCACGTCCCCCCTCCTCTTGTGCCCTGCCAGGCGTCGTGTTCCACTACCGCCCCGCGGGCCGGCGCTACGCCCTGAGCTTCCCCGCCGCCCGCCGCGCCTGCCGGGACAACTCTGCCGTCATCGCCTCCCCCCAGCACCTCCAGGCCGCCTTCGAGGACGGCTACGACAACTGCGACGCGGGCTGGCTGGGCGACCAGAGCGTGCGGTGGGTGTGGGCACCGGAGGAGGAGGCGCTGCCGGGGCCCTCCCCGCGGAGCTGAGAGCTCGCACTGCCTCTCCCTGGCGGGTATCCCATCACACAGCCCCTCCGGGCGGGTATCCTATCACTGTCCCGCTCCACAGGTATCCCATCACGCTGTCCCGGCCCGGTTGCTATGGAGACCGCAACAGCCTGCCCGGAGTGCGGAGCTACGGGCGGAGGGAGCCCGAGGAGCTGTACGATGTGTACTGCTACGCCCGGGAGCTGAGAGGCAAGGGATGAGCCTGGGGAGGGGGGCCCGGGGGTGTCCCTGCACGGCCATGGCATGTCCAGGAGCACGGCTGGATGCCCAGGGATGTCCCTGCACGGCCATGGCATGTCCAGGAGCACGGCTGGATGCCCAGGGATGTCCCTGCACGGCCATGGCATGTCCAGGAGCACGGCTGGATGCCCAGGGATGTCCCTGCACGGCCATGGCATGGCTGGGAGCGCGGGAATCTCCATCCACCGCTCTCCTGCCGGGGTCTGGCTGCAGGGCTGGGTGCCATGGTGGTGCCAGCACTCTGTGCCATCCTTGGCACGTCGTGGCCCCAGCGCTCAGGTGACAGAGCCATCGCTGGACTCGGGGCCCTGGGGACCATCACGGCTTCCTGTCCCCATTTCCCCAAGGTCTCTCTCTCTCTCCCCCACAGGGACGGTGTTCTACGCCACGGTGCCGGGGAGGTTCACGTGGCAGGGGGCCCGGCGGCACTGCCGGGGCCGGGGGGCCTCGCTGGCCACCACGGGGCAGCTGTACCTGGCGTGGCGGGAGGGGCTGGACCAGTGTGACCCGGGCTGGCTGGCCGACGGCAGCGTCCGCTACCCCATCAGGGTGCCCCGCAGGAAGTGTGGGGGGGAGGCCCCCGGGGTCAGGACCCTCTACCAGTTCCCCAACCGCACCGGGTTCCCCCCGGCCGCCTCCAGGTTCGACGCCTACTGCTACAAAGGTGAGGGGGCACTGGTCACAGTGCCACTGAGCACCCTCCCTGACCCCCCACCAGCCCTGGGATGCCCTCGGGAATCAGTGGGCGTGGCCAGGAAAATTACTGCTGCTGAATATTTAATTGGGGATTAACGAGATAGATGGGAGAGCAGCACTAGGGGGGAGGACAGCTCCGGCTGTCACCCTGGCTGGGGGACGCAGTGCCTGGCACGGGCGCTCGAGGGGGGCTGTGGGACCCCACCCGTGACCCGGAGGCCCGTCCTGCCCCCTCTGACGCTCGTGGTGTCCCCACAGCCGCGGGGCAGAGGGACACGGAGGAGCCGGTGCCCCCCACGCCCGACCCACCGGGCAGCGACAACGTGCTGGTGGAGCACAGCGAGGACCTGGGCACCTCGGGGGACACCAGGGACACCCCCAGCGACCACTACGAGCTCCTGCCACAGCCAGGGCTCGCAGGGCAGGGCCAGGAGGAAGAGGAGGAGGATGAGGATGAGCAGCTGCAGCCGGCGAGCAGCAGCCCCACGGCCACGGCACAGCGTGGGGACCTCCCGGGGGCCACCCCTGCACCGGCACCAGCGGCTCCTGGGCTAGGGATGGATGGTGGGACACCCCTGCCACCCACCACGGCCCCCTCGCTGGTGTGGCCCCATGAGGAGGCGGCTCTCAACGTGGTGGATCAGGCCCTGGAGAGCTCCTGGCAGGATCCGACCGGTGCCAGCCCGGCGCTGCCGGTGCAAGAAGAGCCTGAGGAGCCCCCGGCCACCCTCCTGCCACACTCCCAAAGCCCAGCCCGGGAGCACAGCACCGGATCGTCACTGGCACCAGCTGGGCTGGGGATGGTCCCCAGCACGGCAGCAGAGACCCCCAGCCCCCCACCCACCAGCTCCCACAGCCCAAGGAAGAGCCACGCCGGGCTGAACGGGCGCTACTTCCAGCTCCAGCAGCAGGGTCGTGACCCCGCGGTGGCAGCTGGGGACCCCACGGGGGCTGTGGACCCCACAGTGGCTGGGGACGCAGCGGGGACGGCCACCCAGGCCCCTGTCCTGGCCCTGGAGGTGAAGGAAGCTGCGGCCAACACGGTGGAGCCGTGGAACATCCCCCGTGTGGGCACCGAGAGCCTCTGGCAGGAGGGCCCCGACGCGTCCCCCAGCGCGCTGGAGGAGGAGATCAGCCCTGGTAAGTGACACCCACAGATGGCCAGGGGGGTCTCAGCAGGGGCTGTGCTGGACTGGGGACCCCACGGCTGGGCCATCTCTTGCAGAGCTGGTGGCACCGGACACTGCCCTGGTGACACCCTCGCCGCAGGCACCAGTCCCGAGGGATTCCCCGCAGGAATTGTGGAGCCCCCGCCACCCTGGGGGGCCTGAGGGGACACCCCCTGTGCCATCCCCACCCCTGCCTGTCTCCGTGACACCCCACGAGGCTCTGGGCCGCCAGGACATCCCCACGGACGGGGCCCAGCCCCACATCCCCAGTGCCCGTGGGGACTCCCCGCGACCACCTGCAGAGGCCACCGAGGACTTCTCTGGGGACACCGTGTCCCAGGAGGACTCTGGCTCTGTCCCACCGTGGCCCCCGCTGCCCCCAGCCCCGCTGGTGGCCGAGGGTCCCGAGCCGGCCCCGCAGCCCCGCGGTGATGGCGGTGATGGCAGCGGGGCCCCGGGTGAGGCCTCGCTGGAGAGGCAGAGGAAAGCCGTGACCTTCCTGCAGCCAGACAGCCCCTCCGCGGCTCACCCGGCCACCCCCGGCCCCACCCAGGGGGCTGCTCCCCGTGCCCAGGGGGGGCTGAGCCCCACGGCCCCCCAGGGGCCGGCTGAGCCCAGCCAGGAGCGGCTGGAGGGACACGGGGATGTCAGGAAAGGCACGGCCAAGCCCGGCAGTGAGGCGGCCGCGTCCCCCCCGGGCTGGGACACCCCCTCGCCATCACCTCCCCCCGCCACCACCTCGGTGACCCCGTGGGCCGGCCCCGAGCGGCCGGTGGAGGTGGTGGTGATGGAGCCAGTGGTGATGGAGGCAGTGGCTGAGGAGGGGTCCACGGCCTTCGCCCCCGCGGCCCCTCATCCCACCAGCCACTCTGGGCCGGAGCTGGGGGCAGGGGAGCAGCTCCTCCTGCACCCCCTGGACCCTCGGCAGCCCCCCGGCTCCCCAGCCCCCCCCAGCCCCGAGGATGCTCCAACATCCCCCAGCCAGGAGGATTCCTCGGGGGACACGAGGAGGGAAGAGCCCGCCACGCCCCTCGGCTCATCCACCCTCGACCCCTGGTCATCACCTACTGCCCCCCACCCGGGGGTGACCGGGACACCTGAGTCCCCTGGCGTGGGGCTGCTCTTTGAGCCCTCCGTGGCAGCGGAGCTGGGGGTCCCAGGGGGGTCCCCGCTGCTGGAAGCTGACAGTGGGAGCGGCGAGGGGCTGGAGGAGAGGGAGCTGCTGGCCTGGGTGGGCACCGGCAACACCACCCGGCACGGTGAGCACAAGGGTGTCCCCTTGTCCCCCGGGGCTGGTGGGCACAGGGACAAAGGGGTTGGAGGGCGGGGGCTTTGTGCTGACCCATGGGGAGGGTTTTGAGGGGGGAGGTTTGGGGGGTTTCCTCTCCTTTTACCCAAACCAATTCACCCAAACTTGGGGAGCGTGTGGGATGGGAGTGGGGGTGGGGTGGGGGCCCCTGTGTCCCCCCGCCAGGGCTCAGGGCTCCTGCTCCCCTTCCCCACAGCCCCGTCGGACCCCTGCGAGAACAACCCCTGCCTGCACGGCGGGACCTGCCGCGCCAACGGCACCGTCTGCGGCTGCAGCTGCGCCCCCGGCTTCACCGGGGAGAACTGCGAGATCGGTGAGAGCACCTCGAGCCTGCCCCGGCACGGGAGCATCCCAAACCTGCCCTGGAATGAGAGCATCCCCAAACCTGCCCCAGCATGGGAGCATCCCAAACTGCCCCATGCAGGAGCATCCCAGCCTGCCCCAGAACAGGAACATCCTAAACCTGCTCCAAACAGGAGCATCCCAAACGTGCCCCGGCACAGGAACCTCCCAAATCTGCCCTGAAATGGGAGTATCCCGAGCCCTGCCCCTCACAGGAACATCCCAGTCCCTGTCCCGGCACCGCACGGAGCAGCAGCCACGGGAATGGGGCTGCGGCTCCAAGTCCTGCACAATCCCCCATCCTCAGTCACTGCTGGCACTGGCGGGGGCAGTGGGCGGGGTGGGCGGTGAGGGGGGTGCCAGGGGGGTCTCTCCATGCCCACAGCCCCCCCTTGGTGTCCCCCGCAGACATCGACGACTGCCTGTCCAGCCCCTGCCAGAACGGCGGCACCTGCATCGACGAGGTGAACTCCTTCGTGTGCCTCTGCCTGCCCAGCTACGGCGGCAGCCGCTGCGAGAAAGGTGGGGAGCAGCCCCCAGTGTCCCCCCACAAACCCCCCACGGGGTGGGGGAGACCCCCACGGGGACACACTGCCCTGCCCGTGTCACCTCGGGGATGCCGGGAGGGGACGCGGGAGCTGCTCCCCACATCCCTCCCCGTGGGGCTGGTGTCCCCCCCTCCCCTGCGCTGTCCCCACTTGTCCCCGTGTCCCCCACAGACACGGAGGGCTGTGACCACAACTGGCACAAGTTCCAGGGTCACTGCTACCGCTACTTCCCCCGCCGGCGCTCCTGGGAGGACGCGGAGCGGGACTGCCGGCGCCGCGCCGGCCACCTCACCAGCATCCACTCGCAGGAGGAGCACGGCTTCATCAACGGTGGGTGTGGGGAGGGGTCACATTCCCATCCCACCCCCCCTGGGGACCCCTCCCTTCACCCCCCTGAGAGCCGCGCGTGCCCCTCTCCCCGCAGGTTTTGGGCATGAGAACACCTGGATCGGGCTCAATGACAGGATTGTGGAGCAGGACTTCCAGTGGACCGACAACACGGGCTTGGTGAGAGCCCCGGGGGAGCGAGGGGGGGCTTGGGGGGCAGGGCAGGGGGGAGGAGGGGTCTCACCCTGGCTGGTGTCCCGCAGCAATACGAGAACTGGCGGGAGAACCAACCCGACAACTTCTTCGCGGGGGGCGAGGACTGCGTGGTGCTGGTGTCCCACGAGATCGGCAAGTGGAACGACGTGCCCTGCAACTACAACCTGCCCTACATCTGCAAGAAAGGCACAGGTGCCGCCTGCCCCGCTGCCGTCACCCCACGGCACCCCCAGCCCACAGTTCTCATCATCCCTGTCCCACAGGCCCTGGTGTCCCCATCCCACAGTTCCCAGCATCCCTGTCCTTGTCTCATGGTCTCTCTCCAGGAAGCTCCTCACCCTCAGCCCTTCACCTGGACAGACTCCAGCAGTTCCCCTAAATCTCCCTATTTCCTCTCCTAGTCCCCATCAATTCCTCCCTCAACACTTGAATCTGTTTAATTTGCCGCCATTAAACCCATTAAGTTCCCGTTCCTCATCCTGGGAGTTTTATTAACCCTCCAGCTGCTCCCTGGGTGCTCCTCCCCACCCCACGCGTTAATGACGGCCCAACAAGGCTGTTAATTAACGAATTCAATCCTGGGGACACCCCAGTGCCCCCCTGATGGAGGAGCCTCTCCTAAAGCCATCCCCACTGGTGGCAGGGTGTCCCCTCGTCCCCTCCCTGGTAACAGGGGGGTGACAGGGCTCTGTGTGTGTCCCCCCTCCCAGTGCTGTGTGGGCCCCCCCCAGAGGTGCCCAACGCCTTCCCGGTGGGGAAGAGGAAGGAGAAGTACAACATCCACTCCAGCGTGCGCTACCAGTGCCAGGAGGGCTTCACCCAGCGCCACGTGCCCACCATCAAGTGCCACAGCACCGGCAAGTGGGACCGGCCCAAAATCCTCTGCACAAAACGTTAGTGGGGACGGGGCGGGGCGGGTGGGCAGGGGGGGGGTTGGGCAGGGACGGGCGCCCGTTCCTGACCCCCTGCCGGGTGTGTGTCCCCCCCTCCCCATCCTCCCCTTGCCCCCCGTTAGCCAGGCGGTCGCACCGAGCGCGGCGGCACCACCGGCACCGGCACAGCCACCCCCACCACCAGCACCACCACCACAAACCCCGCAAGGAGCGGCGAAAACACCGCAAGCACCTCCGGCTGGACTGGATGGAGGAGGGGCACTACTTCTAGAGCCGAGGGGGGGCCCGCCGAGCACAAAGGTCCCCCCGCGGGATGTGGTGACGTTTCCCGCCCCCCTCCCGCCCCCCTTTCTCCCCCCTGCCCCCCGCCCTCTCTTTTATAACCCCCTTTTGGCTTTAGCTCCTTAGGATGCCCGGCCCCGTAGGGAATAGGACCCGGAGGGGGCGGCTGCGTGTGCGTCCCCAGCCCTCCCTGCATGCCCCACGCTCAGCCCCCCGGCCCGGGCTCGAGCCCCCAGCCCCGCACAGGGACCCCCCCCACCCCTGGCTGGGCTCTGGCCCCGTCCCCAAAGCGGGGGTTAATCAGGCAGCCCCCCCGTCCCACCCTGGCCATCGAGTCGGGTGGCTCTGGTTTTTTAGCAGCCCCCCCTTTTTCCTGCCCCGGACCCCCAGTCCTGCCTGTGGGGCAGTGTGGGGCGAGCCCATGGTGCCACCAGTGCCACCAGTGCCACCAGTGCCCCCAGGGCCGGTTTGGGGCCGGTTGGTTTCTTTTTGCCCCGTTTCCGTTGTTCGGGGTCCCCGTTGGAGTTGCGTGTGTGTGTGTGTACGGCGCTTTCTGATCTCTGCTGTTTGCGACGTGACTGCCGTGTCCTGAGCCCCCTCCCCCCCCTCCCTCCCCCCCCCCCCCCCCCCCCCCCCCCCCCCCCCCCCCCCCCCCCCCCCCCCCCCCCATTTCTGACTCTGCCTTTCTGTACTGCTGGACATTTTAATAAATTTTTTTAACAGTTGAGCGGCCTCAACCCTTCCCTTTCCTGGGGGCTCCCTGCCCCCCACCCTCCATCACCCGCTCCGGTGGCCCCTGACACCCACTGTCCCCTGCCAGGGGTGTGACATCCCGGCAGCCCTTTGTTTCCATCAGCCGGTGAAGGTGATGGATGGGCCGTGCTCAGCTGGGCCGGGGAGGGTGGGCAGGAAGCCCCCAGCCCCTCTGGGGGACCCCGGGGTCCCCATCCACATCCTACCACCCCCATGGTGGCTCCTGGGTGCCACCCAGCCACAGGGATGCCCCGACGCGGCTCTGCTGGTGCCGCTCCCTTGGATCTGGTCCCAACAGATCCAAGCAGGGCGCTGTTGGGATGCCCTGAACGTGCTGGGAGCAGGGAGGGAAAGCAAGGCCGAGCAGCGCCGGGGTCCCCTCGCTCCTGAGACCCCCCTCGGGGGGTGGCACCAGCGAAGGACACACCAGAGCCCCAGTCAGCTCTCGAAAGCAGCCGAAGCTTTTATTTCATCTACGTCCAGGGCTGCCCAAAGCCTCGGGGGGGGTTCCCACCCAGCCCCTCCCTCCTCATCCGCAGGAAGCCAAGCGAAGGAGCTGCCCCAGCCCCGGGGGAGCCCAGCAGGGGCTGGAGGGGCTGCAGGTGCCCCCCTCCCAGACTGCCCAGTACCCCCCCGGGCTGCCCAGTGTCCCCCAGTCCTTTACCCAGCGCCCAGGTGGCATTTTGGGGAGCCCGTGGCGGGTCAGTCCCCCTGCAGAGACCTGACGGTGCCGCGACACTGGTGGCACCTTGCCGGGGGTGGGGGGGTCAGTAGTGTGGGTGCTGCACGACCCCGGGAGGGCGCAGGGTGGGGATCCCCCCGGGGGGGGTGGTGGGGATGGAGGGCTGGACGGGCCCTTTAGCACATGCAACAGGCGGGTGGAGAAGCAAGAGCTGCGAGGGGCGGGGAGCCAGCCCCGGGCGCGGGGGCTCCTCAAGTCCTTCCCCGTGTCCCCGAGCGCCACCTCGCCTCTCCGGCCCGGGGCAGGGGCTGCCCGCAGCTCCGCCGAGACCCCCGGGGAGCCCCGGCACGCGGCGAGGGGGGGGGGGCTCATTCCCCGGCCCAACCCGGGGGGTGCTCCCACCCACAGCCACCCTCACACGCGGTTGGGGTGCCCCCCGCCCGCCACCTCCTTCGCCTTCCCCTTCTCCTGGGGCGAGTCTCCGCCGGCCTTCTTGAAGCAGTAGACGCCGAAGAGCTTGTACTTCTTGTCGGGGAAGCCCAGGTTGCGCACGCCGGGCTCGCGGCCGCCGCAGCGGGCGCGGGGGTTGACGATGGGGTAGCGGATGCTGCCGTCCTCCAGCCAGCCCGCCTCGCAGCGGTCCAGCAGCTGGATCTTCCAGGCGGCGTAGAGCTGCCCCACCTTGGCCACGGCCGCGCCGTTGTTCTTGCACGCCTGCACCGCCTCCGAGTAGCTCAGCTTGCGGAACGTCTTCAGGAAGTAAACTTTGCCTGGGCGAGGAGGGGGGAGAGGTCAGCGCTGGAGCATCCCCTGCCCGTCGTGCCACTGGGGTTGGTGGCGTGGGGAAAGGGGTACAAGCCCCGAGGAGCCCCCTCGGTGCATGTTTAGGGGTGGCTGGGGGTGGTGAGTGATGCAAACCCTGTGGGTTCTCCCAGAGCATTTTTTTGGGGGGCCCGGGTGAGACAAGGGGTACAAACCCTGTGGATCCCCCCCATTGCATTTTTTGGGGAGGGGGCTGGAGGTGGAAGGTGGGTGGTACCAGCCTGGTGGACACCCCCCAACACATCGAGGGGGTTGGAGGAGGCAAGTATTGCAAGCCATGGAGAGTTCCCCCCAACACATTTTTGGGGGGCTGGAGGAAGGGTGATGCAATTCTGTGGACTCCCCCCAATGCATTTCTTTGAGGGGGGGCTGAAGAAGATACATGATACAAGCCCTGTGGACCCCTGTGGGCACATTTTGGGGGGCAGGATGAGCTGAGGGGCTGGGTGGGCCCTGGGGACCCGCAGCCTGGGCAGATTTAGGGGCTGTGCCTGCAGTGCCAGCTCCTTTTGCCGGTGTCACCCGCTATTTATCCCACCTGCCACCATTAAATAAACATCAGCAGGGCCCCCCTTTGGCCCCCCCTTGCCAGGCAGGAGGAATTTACAGAGCCTGGGAGCCCTCCTGGCTCCCATCTGTCTCGCGTGGTCCTGGCCTCATCCATCACCCAGGGCCGCTGCTGCTGCAATTACCTCCATCCCCTGCTCCTCCTGCCTGGCAGAGATGGGTTTGCTAAAAAAAGAGAGGGTTTTTGTCCCCCTCCAAAAAAAAAAAAAAAAAAAAAAGAGGTTTTTTTTTCATAAAAAAGAGAGGGTTTGCTATAAAAGAGAGGTTTTGCTTTGAAAGAGAGGGGTTTTTTCTAAAAAAGAGAGAGGGTTTTTTTCTAAAAAAGAGAGAGGGTTTTGCTCAAACTGGGTGTTCCAGCCCCCAAAACCAACCGGGATGGAGGTGGGTCCCTGCTGGGGGAGCCCCCATCGTTGACCCTTCCTGTCCCCTGACGTGCCAAGGAACCCGGGGAAGGGACAGAAGGGACACATCCCCTCTCCCAGGGCGGAGCATCCCGCCGGGTCGCCATGGGAACCACCCCCCCCCATCCCAGCGCTCCCCCCAAGAGCCCTCCCGGGGCTCGGTGTCCCCTGGCCGGTACCGTTGAGGTTGGAGGTGAAGCAGAAGGCGTCGTAGTGCTCGCTCTCCTTGTGCCGGTAGCCGTAATTGCGCACGCCCACGGGCGTGTCCTTGCGGCCGCACTCCTCCCGCGGCCGGGAGATGGGGTACTGCACCGAGCCGTCCTCCAGCCAGCCCGCGTTGCACCAGTCCATGCCCTCCAGCCAGGCCTGGTGCAGCTGGTCGTGGGACGCCAGGATCCCGTCCTGCTCCAGGCACGCCTGCTGCGCCTCGTGGAAGTTCAGGGTGTAGCGGCCCAGGCGCGGGTGGTAGGGGAAGATGACGCCTGGGGAGGAGGGATTTTTGGGGTGGG